GATAGGTAGTGATAATCAGCTTTACCCAATAAACGAATCTGATACCATATGGGCAGCTTGGTACATTTCGAATATTGGAGAGGAAGCGGGATTTGGAGAGTACAGAATTGTGAGTAACAGCGCTTCTCCAGGTCAAGGACTTAAACAAAACGGGACACTTTGGGTACAGTTCCCTCCCGAATTACAGCCTGATATCACATCCATATGGTCTGGTACTCACACAACCTGGACTACGGACGAGTCAGGATCGACCATCGCGCTAATTCCTACTCCATCGGCTCAAACTACTTTGGTCTGGACGGGTGATCATACTACCTGGACCACCGACAGTGATGGTATTGTGATCGAACAGATCCCTACTCCATCGGCTCAAGCTACTTCGTTCTGGACTGGTTCGGAAACTACCTGGACCACCGACAGTGATGGCATCGTGATCGAACAGATCCCTACTCCATCAGCCCAAACTACTTTGGTCTGGACGGGTGATCATACTACATGGACCACCGACAGTGATGGTAGTGTGATCGAGCAGATCCCTACTCCATCGGCTCAAGCTACTTCGTTCTGGACTGGTTCGGAAACTACATGGACCACCGACAGTGATGGCATCGTGATCGAACAGATCCCTACTCCATCAGCCCAAACTACTTTGGTCTGGACGGGTGATCATACTACATGGACCACCGACAGTGATGGTAGTGTGATCGAGCAGATCCCTACTCCATCGGCTCAAGCTACTTCGTTCTGGACTGGTTCGGAAACTACATGGACCACCGACAGTGATGGCATCGTGATCGAACAGATCCCTACTCCATCAGCCCAAACTACTTTGGTCTGGACGGGTGATCATACTACATGGACCACCGACAGTGATGGCATCGTGATCGAACAGATCCCTACTCCATCAGCCCAAACTACTTTGGTCTGGACGGGTGATCATACTACATGGACCACCGACAGTGATGGTGCTGTGATCGAACAGATCCCTACTCCATCGGCTCAAGCTACTTCAGTGTGGACTGGTACTTACACCACTTGGACCACCGATGAGAACGGATCGGTTATTGAACAGATTCCTACTCCATCGGCTGACGCTACTTCAGTATGGACTGGTACTTACACCACTTGGACCACCGATGAGAACGGATCGGTTATTGAACAGATTCCTACTCCATCAGCTGACGCCACGTCGATCTGGACTGGTACTCATACCACCTGGACCACTGACGAAAATGGATCTGTGATCGAACAAATTCCTACTCCATCAGCTGACGCCACGTCGATCTGGACTGGTACTCATACCACCTGGACCACTGACGAAAATGGATCTGTGATCGAACAAATTCCTACTGCATCAGCTGACGCCACGTCGATCTGGACTGGAACTTATACTACCTGGACTACTGACGAAAATGGATCTGTGATCGAACAAATTCCTACTCCATCAGCTGACGCCACGTCGATCTGGACTGGAACTTATACCACTTGGACAACCGATGAGAACGGATCGGTTATTGAACAGATTCCTACTCCGACTCCATCTGCTGATGCTACTTCAGTATGGACTGGTACTTACACCACCTGGACCACCGATGAGAACGGATCTGTGATCGAACAAATTCCTACTCCATCAGCTGACACCACGTCGATCTGGACTGGAACTTATACCACTTGGACAACCGATGAGAACGGATCGGTTATTGAACAGATTCCTACTCCATCAGCTGACGCCACGTCGATCTGGACTGGAACTTATACCACTTGGACAACCGATGAGAACGGATCGGTTATTGAACAGATTCCTACTCCGACTCCATCTGCTGATGCTACTTCAGTATGGACTGGTACTTACACCACCTGGACCACCGATGAGAACGGATCTGTGATCGAACAAATTCCTACTCCATCAGCTGACACCACGTCGATCTGGACTGGAACTTATACCACTTGGACAACCGATGAGGATGGATCTGTGATCGAACAAATTCCTACTCCATCAGCTGACGCCACGTCGATCTGGACTGGAACTTATACTACCTGGACAACCGATGAGAACGGATCGGTTATTGAACAGATTCCTACTCCGACTCCATCTGCCGACGCTACTTCAGTATGGACTGGTACTTACACCACCTGGACCACCGATGAGAACGGATCAGTGATTGAACAGATTCCGACTCCATCTGCCGACGCTACTTCAGTATGGACTGGTACTTACACCACCTGGACCACCGATGAGAACGGATCAGTGATTGAACAGATTCCGACTCCATCTGCCGACGCTACTTCAGTATGGACTGGTACTTACACCACCTGGACCACCGATGAGAACGGATCAGTGATTGAACAGATTCCGACTCCATCTGCCGACGCTACTTCAGTATGGACTGGTACTTACACCACCTGGACCACCGATGAGAACGGATCGGTTATTGAACAGATTCCTACTCCATCAGCTGACACCACGTCGATCTGGACTGGTACTCATACCACTTGGACCACTGACGAAAATGGATCGGTTATTGAACAGATTCCTACTCCATCAGCTGACACCACGTCGATCTGGACTGGAACTTATACCACTTGGACAACCGATGAGGACGGATCTGTAATTGAACAAATTCCTACTCCATCGGCTGACGCCACTTCCACATGGACAGGTACGTATACTACCTGGACTACTGAAGTAGCTGATGACGGAAGCAGCACAGTCGTTGAGCTTGCACCTTCGGAAAGTGGTACTTCTACAAACGTTATGCAAACACCAGTCCCTAGTTTTGGAGTTGATAACGGAGTATCTCGTTCTGACGGATTTAATGTTGCAGTTTACCATTATCCTGCAGATAACTACGAACTTGCCAATGAAATCAGTTTTATGAGCTCTGGGTATGAGAACCTGGGACTAGTGACAACGGCTGTTGGTGTTAGTGACATTGACTTTGACACTGATTCGAGTTGGCCTTATTATATTGACAGAGATGCTTTGGGTAATACCGGATCATACGTCAACGCAACCATAGAGTACGAAGGATTTTTCAGAGCTCCAGTGGATGGAGAGTACGAATTTTTGTTCAGTAATACTGACTACAACTCAATTTTGTTTCTGGGAAGTGCTACTGCTACTGATCAGTCTTTGCAAAAGCGTGAGGTGCAGTTCCTGAAACCTAAAACAAGTCTCAACTATGCTCTGTTTTTCGACAACACTAGGGATTTGGGGCAGACCATAAGTACCACGCAGTACCTCTCAGCAGACAGCTATTATCCCTTACGAGTTGTGCTTGCTGCAGTATCGCAACATGCTTTACTGGATTTCCAGATCAAGCTACCAGATGGTGATTTGTTGACCCAGTACGAAGGGTACGTTTACAACTTTGCTCTGAAGGAATCTGAATCGTCTACGATAACTGCTGATAAGACTTCTACCTGGACTGGAACTTACACTACATGGACCACAGACTCTGATGGAAGCACGATAGTAGTTGTTCCGACTTCGACTGTCACTGCTGATGAGACCTCCACTTGGACTGGATCGTACACCACCTGGACTACAGATTCTGATGGTAGCACCATCGTGCTATGTCCTTCAAGCACTAGTGACCACCACGATAAGCCCGGGGCCAGTGAAACCACTTTGACCGATGGTAGTATTTCGACTACCGTTGTGACGGTGACCAGTTGTGGCATTAAGAAGTGCACCAAGACTACTGAATTAACCGGGGTCACGCAGACAACTCTTACTACCGACGGTGCGACTACGGTTGTAACAACCTACTGTCCTTTGCCAACCGACATTGTCACTGTGAAGACCACAAGCGTTAGTGGAAGTGAAGTTTTGCAAACAATCTATACGGCAAAACCTAGCCCTGTTGTCCCAGATGTACAAACTTCGACGGTTACAATTACAAGAGAGGTGTGTGACGCTTACACCTGCACTCAAGCTACCATTGTAACTGGGGAAATTCTGCAGACTACCACTATTGCCGATACCCACTCAACAAGTGTTGTTCCAGTTTATGTTCCATTGGATACTCCTGAACCGACAGTTGAGCTGAGTACTCTCGAAACTGTTTTCCAGTCTTCTGACTTTGCCAGTGGATCTACTGTAACCGTTGAGACAGCCCCACCATCATACCAATCTGGTGGGGTAGCTGAAAGTAGTGTGGCCATATCTGAGTTTGAGGACTACAGTACATCTGACACAGTGTCCCAACCTTCTTCAACGATTTCTTTGCAAACTGGAAAAGCAAACGCCCTGACATGGTCATCGTTCCTGGGAGCAGCAGTGATTCCACTCGTTAACGTGCTTTTCATTTAGATGCCCCTCTTTTTTTATTTTTCATTTTCATTTAACCTTATTTACTTCTAAATGCTTTTCTTTTTTATTGTATGCTTGCAACAGTTGTTGGAGACCCCATATTCGTTTTCGATCCGTAACAAACGTTCAATAGCTCGGAATAGAATGTTTTGAACTCTTTGATGGCTGATTCATACTGGACTAAACTCGTTACACTTTATGAAAAAACTGCTGCCATCGCGAACAATCTCTGGATGTTTGGATGTTCTAAATTGTGGTAGAATATTTTTCTGTTGGATGAGTTACCGCGCGCAAAAAAATCATAAATCTGCTGGTGTGCGTAAAGCAGTAATAATCACTGCGCGCAAGTTGTGCATGCATGAGCGCCGCGTCAAGTTATATGATGTCACTGAAGAAGAGCTGGAATAAACTTTTGTATTTGTTTAGTCTTCCCTAAAATGATAGACACACACAAATTAGTGTTACAAGCAAACATCATTATGCCAATCACAAAATGAAAATTGAAATCATTGGCACGGCCACATGGGCCTTGAGACAATTTCAACTGTATGTGATCATCATATCAATCCTTTTAGTAAGGTAACCCTGAATTGGCCCATCTTATCCACACTGTTTCATTAATGTAGTAGTGATTGGCTCATTATGTACCATACCTGATGGTCAGTGAGCAGTCATCGATAATGGCAAAAGAACACGTTAGGCTTTCAGGTGTTTTTGAACACTCCACTGTCGATATGGAAGTGTTGGTGAAAGTAGGTCATGACTTCTGTCTTTTGTACTGAGGGCAAAGTGAAAGATAGAAAGAAACTGTAGTGCTTGCTGATCGGAGTCGTGCCCCTGTGTTCCTAAAGATGGAAACAAGAGGTAGACGTAGTTATTAAGAGTCTGAAGGATCACTTACTCTGTCAACCTTCTAAATGGTCAACTTGAGTTTTGAGGAGATTCCAAGGGCGTTAGTATGGCTAGAATTTAGCAGTGGGTGAATATGTGAATCTTTTCCAACTGATCAGCGTGAATGTACGTTATTATCTTATTATGGAGTATATATAGGGAACTCTCAATGTCTCGAAGAAATGGTACGAAAACGGGATTGTATCGCGTATTTCTTTCATTGATACTTTGTTAATCAGAGTTACACTGAAACTGGAAGACCAGCTATTGTTCCAAGTTGCCTTTTATTTTTGGTGTTCTACATGTTGCATTTCTTTTCAGGCGGGCGCTATATCATATATGGAATCGTCCATTGAGGTTACGAAGGGCATTCTCAATTTCACTTATGCTTTGAACTGATGTTATTGAACAAAGATGGAGATAAAGGGAACTTCTAACATTGTTTAGTATCTTGCAGAATACCTATCATGTCTGTGGATATGGATGCAACTCCAAGATTGCAGAAAGAACTTGAGAAGGTAAATTGGAGTCAGCGGATGTATATGGAACAAAGAATAAGTGATCATCCATGCATTTTTACACACTGCTTAGTTTTTTATTCAGATACTTTCAAATCCGAGTCCAAAAGGTACTAGGAGAATGATGTTCGCCTTTCAAAGTAAAAATTAGGAGACGTAACTTGTTTCCCATACGAGAATAACTATCACCGGAACATACGAATCTGTATGATATATTTAAACTCGGTGCCAACTATACGTTTTAAATCAGAATCAGTTTAGTTCAAGTCTATATGAGTACGGTGGTGTTTCTTAAATGGGACATGGAAATTTTATCGGGCACTGAGACTCAATCAGTGGTAACTTTCGGCATTAAAATTTGGTATTTGTATGGATGGCACTTCATACATGACATCAATAGTAGAAAGAGTTAAAAAAGCCATTTACGGCAGTGTTGGGCTGGAATAATACGGCTAGATTTGTATGATTGACGAGAAGTTGGCTAATATTGCTCAATTCTAAACTTCGGAAGAACATAGGCACACTGTTAACGAAAAGAATACCATAATTTGAGAGTAGGGAACAATATTTTATCCACCAAGCCAAACTCAGTTTCCAAGGCGGATTTGGAATGGCAATTCACTTAGCTACAAATTTCCATGGTTGGGACAAGTCTATAACCAGTACGATCCTAAGTGACCCAATAAGTATCAAGGAGTAAGGAGAAAATTGCAAATGGAGGTTCCTCACTGTGTTCAGGAAAGCCAGCCTTGTGAGGTCTGAACCGTGATTATTATTGTAGCTCAGACTTCATGTCAAGAGTTTATAAAGGTTATACCGAAATCCCACTAATCATATATACGAGAGAATAAGGCCCGATTAATTGGTAGCACAGTTACATTGTATCATAGAATATTCTATTTTGAAGATAGTCCTGAACATGTAATTTTTGCTACTAGGACTGTGTACGAAAGATTTGCTCACTAGTGTAATTGAAAACACAGTGTAAGTTTAATCTTCATCCGAAGTATCACTAAACATGGAAGGCAGAACTGAATTTCATGACAGTGTGATATTATATTCAGAATAATCAGGAAGATAATCATATTTAAGCACTTTCAACTTTGGAGTTCCTTACAAGAATATTATATTACTGTTATGATACTTGCATTTCAATAATTACGTAACCAATAGTTACGCTTACGGTGTCATTGCTCACAGTTGATACTAGTCACAACACGAAGTAGGGGTCCATATGAGACTAGGCAGTACGGTAAAAGAAGAAGCAATAGCTTCTAATAAGTATAGTGAACATAGTTTATTCTTGTTCTATATAGACTGATACTATTAACTAATGGTAACAATAACTTTAATCCTCCACTATACTGAACATTAACTAAACATTACACTAATTAATCATAAATCATTATGCTATTTTGACATGGATATCTATATACCCTTCACCTATACATCTATCTTACTTCGCTATCATTTTAATAATTCAGTTATGCCGTTGGTTTGTAATAGTTTATATTTTGATTAGTAATGATTCGTCAAATTGGCGTCAAGATTATCATTGAAATTACTGACAGTGTGAGGAAAGATGTTCACGAACAAGTTTTCAAGAACAACACTCAATGAACTTTGAAATTTGTCTCAATTAGTCAACATTTTTTTCATCATTCAAAAACAATTTGAAAATGGAAAAAAATCTAGTGAATACCTTACAAAATTGACAGGTGGACTTGGTTGCAGAAAAGTAACCAAAAAATAGACAAAAACAATCACCTCTCGAAA